ACCTTGCTAGCAGATATCACTGCTGTTTCCACAGCTTTTCGGATATCATTCCATGCTGCATCGGGGTGGGCATCACTTACATGGCTGCCCAACTGTTTTCCTAGTTGTTCCTGAAATATACTCTTAGCTTGACTATCATTAAGTAGGCCCCTAAGAGGTTTCCTTGCAGCGTCTTTCCTACGCCCAGTAAGACGCAAGCAAATACGCGCTCGCACTAGAGCATGATCTGAATCTAGGCATGTGCTCCAGAATGAGCGACAGTCTTCTATCGAGCCCCTCCATCGGTGGCTGATAGCGATGTGATCTATTTGGGTCCAACGTTGGGACGAATTAAGGGGTCGCCATGTTAAAAGATGTTTATCCTTATGCTTAAAGTTAGTATTTGCAAGGAACAGGCGGTTATCTGAGCATAGATGCAACAGACGGTCGCCATTATCTGTTCTTTGAGCCACGACACCATAGGACCCACATCCGAGCGCTTAGCTTTTCGGAGAAGGTCCGAAAGCTTTCTGTAAAACTCATCTTTTACATCATCTGAGCTGCAGTCAGTGGGAGAATAGGCAGAGATGACGAAGAGGCAACGACGAGTGTCCCTATCTTTCCGGATTCTTACTGTTCCGTTCAGTCGGACAGCGCACAAACGACTGTCTACTGGGATCCACTCTAAGAGAGCTAGTTCTGCCCTAGGACTCAATGCTATACCTACGCCGGCGAGGCCACGGGAAGCGGAATCAGGGCTTCCAGATACACGAAGCGTAAATCGAGTCGGTTCTTTATTTTGGTATGGTGAGGTCAAATGAATGACGCTACTCGGATCCTGTATGCGCGTTTCGGAGACGCAGCACACATCGATGGCGCGAGATTCTAAAGTTTTAGCTAAGGAAGCCTGCTGTCCTATTTGGCAAAGTGTTCGTACGTTGAAAGCTTCTACGTGTAGTTTAGAGCGTGGTTTCAGGAGACCAGGAATGGCGTTCCACGTACTCGAATCGTTTGCCCTAGCGGTGCGAGGTGATAAAGAGACGTGAGGAGGGTTAGTCAGGGAGATAAGAGAGGTATTAGGAGGTGTAGGAAGGATTTGAATGTGACCACCTTGGTCTCTTGTGCTGTTACGGGTATGAGGGCTGATGTCACTTCCCGGCTGCCCACACCGTGGAAGGGTATTTCTTGAGGAACCTGAAAAGGAAATTGGATTAGTGTTGGTCTTGACGACCTGGGAGCGTGACCGCAGAGCCCAAGGGACAACTGCTTGAGGCCGGTCGCGCACGGCCTTTTTGTGGAAGGTTTTTGACGTGTTAGCTCCGTTCTTCAAAGAGCCTTACCGCCGGAGACGGAAATCCGTGAGGTAAGGTGAGGTGTGCATTTTTAGGGTCGACCTTTTCTAACCCCATCCCTCCTTGTGGGAAGGCAGCATCGCTGTCATGCTGGTTGTCCGAGGGAAACACCTTACTGCTGTCACACCTCTCTACAGTCAGCAGTACGACTTCGCCCTCAGACCTTGAGTTGCTGCTTTTAGTCTTACCGTTCGCCAATCGACCTGCCTGGCATGGTAGAACCTGCAGGAACATATGTTCCAGCCAATATAGCTCGGTTGGGTCATCACGATAGGCAAGCCCGACCACCGCGTCAAGGTAGCAGCTTCGATCGGGTTACGGACAACTCATTACCATTGGTAGCTACTCTCTACTTCATGTTATCCGGAGCCTTCGTTTTACAGAATTGATGTCAACTTTTAACTAAAGCGCTATACACTATATTATGAAAGGTTCTTTTAAAACATTTTATCTGAGATTCCTAATGACATCAAGGTAAACCTTGACTGAAAATAATGTATGGGATAACCACTCTCAAATCCTTCCAAGATCAGACACAATCAAGAAGAAACTCATTGTCATAAAACGGGTAGATACTTTCCGAAAACAAGAACCCCTTGCCAAAACTCCATCTTAACTAACCACAATTCAGTTTATATCTACCAGCTAATGTTGCAGCCATTAAATAGGTTTTTGTCAGTGTTAGTCAAAGAAAGCACTTAGTAGAATAACAATGCAAAAGGCGATTGCTGTTACTAGTCTGTTGGCAGATAATTCTTAAGATAATTAAAAGGGCTTGGGACTGGCCACCTTTCCTGTATCGACTGTATTTGTAATCTTGATCTGGGAGCCTCATAGAAAGCTTATTTGTAACATTAAGCTAACATTATCGTTAATGCTACAAGTTCTTACAAAATTATTCAGCCAGGGAGTTCTAGTGTATTTCTTATGTTGTAAGAGATAGAAAGACATTATTGGACTGTATATTCACGGACAAAATTCTTCAATTTAGTTCCGTCTAGAAGTTTAAACAAAGCTTAGAGATTAAATTTGCAAATTAAGTCAAAGTATGACGTGGATTTTTCAGCGCAAAGATCCACCGGTTTTATGACAATTTGCTACGTATCCAATATTAACATTCATGCTAATCATCACTATTTCGTATTTTTTTCAGGGAGTTGTACAGTAAAATGGGAAAACAAGTCTATGTATTTCATTGTTACAGTGTTTGGCTTAGCGATATAATCCTTTTCGACCAACGAAATAGTTTTAAAACAATCAGATTGTATGAAGACCGTCTGCGTTCTAAACAACTTGTGAGCATTCGTTTTTGGGTTTGAACGTGGTATCTGGACTTTTTCTTTGTTGATGCAGTTTACTTTACTTCCGTATCTTCACCGCTCAGCTGAGTTATTACGTTGAATAAACAGATCATGTATCATGATTATTTCTCTGTAATTGTTATATATCCATTTACATCACTACTTTATGTATTAATAGGGCACAAGTTATAACAAATTTTAAGACGTGTTAAGTAATAACAGCACTCCGTGACTTTCAGTTAGTATTGTAACAAAAGCGTATCGCCTGATTTGTGATATTCAGAGTATTTTTGCAGATACTATGTTCCTTTGTATATCGCCTCTGCTAATTCCATAAGTGCTTTCATTTACTATCTCGAGTTACTAATATCCGCAAAGAAATCAGTGGGTACCTCCCTGTTTACCTGGTACTATGGAAAAATAGCGCAACGGCTACTGGTGCTTCAAAGAACTAAGGTCGTTGTTCGAAGCGCCCTCTGTTCACTGTGACGTTTGAAAGAATGATAAGTTGGTATCTTGTAACCACCTTTGAAAAGATGTCTTAGTCACTAAGGCATTAATCCTGCTACCAGCTGAGCTGAAATATTAGTTTCCACAATATTGCGCTAATTATGCGAAAAAAACGTGATCGATGCAGTGACCAGATGTTCACTTCCCGCTTGGTTGCTATCAGGTGACTTACAGATCGGCTAGCGTCCCGTAATTTGATATTGGAGTTGTTCCTGATCAGTCGCACAAAGACTGAATATTGGAGGAAGGTTTGTCTGGTGTTTTGGCATTCAGAAAGTTCCTCGTAGCAAATGTATGGAGCATAGTGATGGCATTTAACCAGCAGGAGTTAATCTAATCCCCCCATTAATCTTTGGCTTACCCATACATAATATTTTGGGGACAACTCTAGAGGAAGAATACAGTGGTGTCACAAATGTGTTGTCTAAATATAAACTTCGGCATTGATTTTTTTTGTCTGACTACGTGATACCACATAGGTCACAAATCAAAATTGGTCAATAAGTGCTCAGCGTCCGTATACGACTTGGCTTGAACTGTCACAACGCAAAGTACTAATGTAGTGAACAGAACACGGGTGGGAACAATCGAATGTATTTAACACAAAATTACAGAACTTGTTAACAAAATCTAACAATCATAAAGTAAATGTTTAACTTGCAAAATGTCCACCAATTGTCTCAGAATGACTCATACTTCATTGTTCTTGCATTTTCATACAAATTGCATTCTGTTTCGATTCTTTACTGTTCGATCCTCTTGTCTCTCTGCTGCCAGACCTATTCAAGACTAACATCACATACTACTTATGTCAATCTAAGTAGCACACACCACACTACTACGACAGGAAAGTCAATGTTGGAAGCCTTACGTGGTTCGCCAAAAATAGTCGAGGATCTCATATGTTCGAGCATTAATTTTTTTTATGACAGGCGCCAAGTCATGGAGACCTGGTTATTTTTTATACCACACTACAAAAGGTGGAATAAACTGCCATGACGTACGGCAACTCTGTCGTATATTATGGGAACTTAGTTTGTTCGATCTGAAAATGCTAGATATCTTTCTGTACTTAACAGCGTCCTCCAAAGGAATTGTCGCATCCCATGACAACACTATGCAAGCACTGATGAGGTCTGATAACGTGTTTTCGGTAATAATGAAGACGATAAAATTATTGTTAACTTCTCAAAACACCCGTTTTGGTGACTTAGACATAAATACACATACTGTGTCTTTAACATTGTTGTTTACCGTATAAATACCGTTACTTAACAAAGCGATGGATCTTGCAAAGTAGATTAACTAGACAGTACCAGTAATGAATGGACACACGTAGCAAGGGAACCAAAAATAATTTCATAGACTCTGGACAGAACTGCGACGACCATGACGCTTTTTCTAATGAAACGTAAATCCTAAGGAACTTTAGATCTTGTAACCAGCCAGTAACAAATAAACTAAATAGCCTTAGATTTATTATCCACAGTACTGAATACCAACCGTATTGTTTAAAATGATTAACGTTGCCACCATGCTGACAGTATTATACGTCAAATTGAATTTAGACCACAGTATCAAATATATAGCTTGAACTAGAGGGAAGGTGTTGTATGTTAAAATACTCCGTGCTAAAGTAATACTAAGGAACATGAATACGTAAAAATACATTACTATCTAGTAATTAAGTAGCAATACAAATACCATTCACAAGGTAATACTTTAATCATGAAACAAACTCTAAAGACTAATTGTGTATTTACGTTTGCATGATTACAGGCAATGTGTAGCGTTGGAAGATTGCTCTGTCGCTTTTCTGTGAAATCTGACTTTTAAGTTGTTAGATAATAGTACGAATTTACGGCAACAATCTAAACAAAAAGTGGTAAACTAGTGCTATTTCCAACTCAGATCTTACTCAACCATCAGTTTTAAAGTATGTGGCGATGAATGTACACAGTGGCCTAGTTATACAGAAAATCAGGTTTGGATATAAAAGAAAAGCCTCAATGTGAGTTATTTATCTACCACAGACCGTATATTTAATTCATGACAGTGAACTTCATTGGCTGACTGACCAACGGAGTCAGGAAGAAGACCATTGTTGTCTTTAGTACTAGACAGATTAGGATAGCTCTCCAACAACCAATCTATTGTATTTTTCTGTTTCCCCCGGTACGCCTGAAAACAAATGAAAATATCTATAAAATAAACAAGTCCGCGGAAAATACACAATAAGATTGATAATGGTGTTAATATTTGATCTTAAGTAACACAGATTCGGGAAGTACATTTTATGACATCATCATCTTAGCAGATGAAAGTACTAGGATACAAGTGAATTATTGAACGTAATTAAGCTTAGGTCAAGCACTTATTATTTTAAACATCCACATTCAATATACAACAAGAGGTAAAAAACATAACTAAACAAAGACCAGGAAATTCACACGGAAATCGGTATTGCAACACTAAAAATAACTCAATGGCTCTAACAGTACGTTTGAAATGTAAAATCCTTTAGGAAATAAACCTTGAATAAAGGATATAGCTACTTACGTGATGCAAGCAGTTCCTACCATAGTTATCACGAGATTCTAAAACTGGTGCTCCTCCTTTGCCGACAAGCAGTTTTAAAATATTAAGATGTCCTGCATACGCCGCTCGATGTGCAGGTGTAGCCCCGTCATTTCTTGTCTTGGCGAAAATATCAGCCCCAGCTTCTAATAATACATTACAAATATCTATATGATTATTTCTAGCAGCATAATGCTAGTAAATAAGATATCGCTTTTAACTTACCAGAGCTGTGTACCCATAACTGTCTGGTATATTAACATTTATATGTTTATCTAACAATTTCCGAACGCGATCAATATCACCACGTGTGGAAGCACCCCAAATCCCTCTCTCAAAATCCATTTCACTTAAATCTTGGTGAAAAACTGTGTGACCGGTACATGAATGTGAGCTTTCAGTCATTCGCTTCTGAACTTTATCACTTTTGAGGTAAAGCTGAAAGTTAGTGAAAAAAATAATGAAAGGATTAAGTTCCCCAAGAAACAATAATACTTTGCACAGTCAAATCAGTTATCGTTCATGAGGCATGAAACATCACTTCGTACAGTAAACAGACACTATGAATGGTAAGCAGGCCCCCCATTCCCGACCGTAGCTGCTACCGTGATACGGTAATCGGGCTTGCCTGTCATGATGACTCAACTGGGCTATATTGGGTGGAACACGTGTTTGTTTAGGTCCTACCAACCCGACAGGTCGGCCGGAGAACGGTTAAACTAAAAACCGCAACTTAAGATCCGAGGGCGAAGACATACTGCTGCATGTAGATGGGTGTGACAGCAGCAAAGTGTTTCCCTTGGATAGCCAGCATCTGAAGAGATGGTGCCTTCTCACAATGGAGGGAAGAGGTTGGAAAATGTCACACCTTAACCCACGGATTTCTGTCTCCGACGGCAAAACCATAAGGCAGTACGCAATCGGCCTCAAGCACTTTTCCCCTGAACTCTGCGGTCACGCTCACAGGTCGCTAAGACCACCACTAACTCAGCTTCTTTTCCAGGCCCCTCAAGAAGAGATATCTTTCGACACTGGGCAACCGGGAAGTGTGGATCGCCATCATACCTTTATTAACACCTGATATCATCTTGTTGATGCGTCATATAGTAATGAAATGAAACAAATTTAATGAATCATACTATGATGTTTGTATAAATGCTGTCATTGGTAAAATCACTAGAACGTTGTTGGAAAATCTTCTGGCCGTCGATATGTCATTTCGACGGCCATTGTCTAGAATTTCCTCTTGGAAGTAAATAAAAACTTGAGACCTTACCCTATTTTGAGGTTTTACCAAAGTCATATGAAAATTCATATTCTTCCCCTCTAAAGTCTGGAGATATCTTCGGGAGCGAGACTTTAATTTATGGACAACCTTTAAACAAATCTTGATAGATCTTGAGAAATACTGGTCAATCAGGAAACAGCCAGTTTAGAGTAAAAATATACTATACAAAACCAAAGAAATAAAGTGGATACACGTCTTATACATAGTTCAAATACTTGTCAAGATTAGAAAGAGGTTCTAAAATCGTAATTCATGCAGTAGATGAAACCATCCATATGGCTACAGAATAGTCGACCTCTGGAGCCATGATAAAGTCTCAAGAACTCTTTCAGCCTGGACACTCATTCGATTGGAAAATGTGGAAACCTTGGACAGAGGAAATCCCCAAAATACCAGAGAATTTTTAGAAGCCTGGGACTCAGGTAAATCAACAAGTATATTGAAATCAATCTAATTTACTAGCCAATGAGGGAAATTATGCACAAATATAGGAACAAAATTCAAACCAATGGGAGACACAACCAAAACAAAGAAGTAAACAATGACAAATTTAAGGTCAATAAGAACTAATCAACGTCGAGGTGTACAGAACAAGTTGTGAAACGCATATGGAGAAATTCGAACACTTCACTTCTATCTGAAGTTTGTGCTGATGATGTGTTCAGAAGAACGATGAAAGCTCCACGACAAAACCATCCAGCTCAGAGAACAAAACTCCATCAAAAACTCTTTCAGCCTCGACTACATAGCTTCAATATTGTTTGTGTGCATTCTGGTTGTTGAATACACAAAATGCCACCTGTGGATAACGATACGATGCACATAATCAAACCTATGTAGGAGTCTGTAAGCTCTCCAATCATCCGCATATATTGTCGTACCTGGCTGCAGCCAGTGTTACTGGTGCTTTTATTATCCAGTTCGCAATAATTGTCATAAGTTGTCTTAGTTAAGAATTATATATAGGGTTTTCATTACGAACTGATATCAGCTATAATGCCAATCCAAATAGTTTGAACTCTATTTAGCCAAACGGATGAAAGACTTTCGCGCCATAATCCGAGATCTGTTATCTTATACCTGATTGGTTCACGTCCAAAAGTTGTAGTCTCGCCTTTTTATTTGTTATAGCCACTCAATTATCAAGTTTTGTATGAAATCCCTTGTGAACTGATAGTACGTTAGCATTAAGTACCGAAGTTGACGCCGTGACCTTGAAATTCCTCAAACGCCTCTGATTGGCTCGTCCATCAACTATAGTCTCACATCTTCGGGTTTTTTGTTTCATTTCTGTTGTGGCTTCCCAAAAATCAGGAGATTGGGTAAAAAAAAAAGCTCACTGGGATGCCATCAATTAACGGATAATTTTGTAAGTTGGTATTAGTTTTTCTTTATTACAAGTAACAAAACTGATGAATAAATGTGGTAATCCGGGCGATGTTTGGGAATTGTTGGATTTAAATGCTTAATATTGATCGGTGTGATTCGAAAAGGTCTTGCAGACACTTAAGAGAAATGGCTCGGAACCAGTTGCTTAGTCGTAGGTTGGCCAGGTGTAGCTTCCATCAGTTTCCACACTTACCATTACAATAGGTCATGTTTTTTTCTGGCTTTCAAAGGATGATTCGCTCTGTTTAACAAAACAGAAAAGACACTTCCGGTTAATGTTGGAGCTATAGTTACGAGAAGAGTTATGGATTTAACTGCATGGCAAATGTTCACTGGTAACTATCACCACAAGTCTGACCTTTAAGGGATGCTAAAATGATTCAGAGAAAATCCACCTGCTTGCTAGGGTTAAGAGAGGACATTACATCAGGGCAGAGCACACACAAAAGCAAATCCAAACGTTAATATGGTTATAATCTGTAAGATACTGGAAGAGGTACTTATACCAACTTTCCCACTTTTCAAAGGAGAACTCTATGCATATCTTGAGTCCAATGTATTTTTATTTCACTTACTTTATTCGAACACATAAATATTGGTACAACAGGGCACCAAACATATATATGCGCCACACTAGACAACGAGAATGGAAAGAGAAAAAGGGAAGGTAAGGAGCGTAAAAGAAAAATAACGACCAGAGTAGTTTAAGGTAGTGTAATAATAATTATTATTATTATTATTATTATTTTGGGGGAAACAGAAAGGTACAACAAGAAATCTCTCAGCTAAGTAAGATACAACCACTTTTTATGAAGAAAGTAAAAGAAGGTTACAGCAGGATCGCCACTGGCTTCTATTCGGAGCCATATTTGGTTACGTCTTTAGCCACTGTGTTGCACCATCTCTCGGACCCCAACCACGGAGTCGTGAAGGACCAACACAAGCCAGACCTCTGCAGCTTTCTTTCATACCATGACACCATGTCATACACTGACCACCTCTCCGCTTTTTTTAACCAGTCCAGGCGTCGGCAAGTAATGCACGTCGTGGGATTCTCTGGGACGACATTCGTAGAACATGTCCAAGCCACCGAAGTCGGTGTTTCAAGATGGTGACACCAATTGGATTATCATCTCTGTGCCCGAACACACGATGCCGAACCTCTGCATTACTGACATGGTACTGCCACTGGATGTCAGCAATTCTTCGGAGACAACGATGGTCAAACACAGAGAGTCGTCTAACATCCCCAACTCGGAGAGACCAGGTTTCACAAGCATAGAGCAAAACCGCTCTCATTGGCGCGTTGTAGATCCGACCTTTTACAGCCAAATTAACATCACGAAGGTGCCAAAGATGGCCCAGATTGGCATAAGCCGCTCTGGCTTTCACTATTCGTGCATTGATCTCATCACACACATCCCCACCAGCACTTATGCAGCTACCTATATACACGAACTTCTCGACTACTATCCGCTCACCATCCAGGGTGAGTACAGGATCAGAATCCTGTCAGTCTTGTAGAAATACTTTGCACTTCGAACGTACAAAGCACATACCATACCTACGGACACTGATTGCCAACTGATTAAGTGCGGATTGCATGCCATGAGCATTATCGCACAGTAAGACAATATCATCCGCATACTCAAGGTCGAGAAGTCTTTCTCCAGGCAACAGATCCACACTTCCATTACTTACATCCATCAGAGCTGTTTCCAGAATGTCGTCGATGGCAAAGTTGAAGAGGAATGGTGAGAATGAGCAACCCTGTCTAACCCCACTGCTCGAATAGGACAATGGAGAGAGGTGGTTGTATGCCCTCATTCCATGACGCTGGTACACTCTCTAACTCCCAGACCTTTGTAAACAACGCCGTCAATTCCTTAGTCAAAAAGTCATCACCATCTTTAAAAAGAGCCGGAGGTAAGTCATCTGGGCCAGGCGATTTGTAGCGCTTCAAGAGTTGGCGTTCCTTGCGGACTTCCCCCTAGTTTGGTGGATCAGTCGTCACCGGCCATGGAGGGCAGGACAGTCTGACCGATGTTGCCGGAGCAGCAGGCCAGTTGAACTGTCCTTCGAAAAATTCTGCCCATCGTCCAAGACGTCGATGATTGTTAGTGATTGGCATCCCATCTTCCTCGCAGACTGTTTCGCTCACACCAGACTTCTTGCTGCCAGTGGCTCGGATGAGCTGGAGGAGCTTCCGGTAATTACCAGATGCAGATGCTGCTTCCAGATCATTAGCACGCCTCGACCACCAGGCTTCACGGTCCTTACGCAAGCTTTGCCCGATTTCCTTACGTAACATCCTTCGTCTATGGTCAAACTCACGGTCACCCGGAGTAGACCGACGGGCTTCAATGAGTTGTAAGGAACCTGCAGTAACCCAGTGCTTATAAGCGGGACGTTTCGCAAACCCACAACTGACTGTACCCGACATTTTCATGGCGTCATGCAATTACAACCAATGCTCATCTATACTTTACGGTGGAGTGGTAGCTAGCCTAGAAACTAGCTCGGTTCGATACTTACTAGCAACAGAAGTTGCAGCCAGTTTGCTAACATCAATCCGTTGGTGGCGGTCACTTCGTTGTCCACTGAAAAGCAAGGCAAGATTGGCGCAGACCAAGGCATGGTCAGAGTCCAGATAGGTACTCCAAAAGGAGCGGCAGTCTTGTACACAACCACGCCAGCGGTAGCTGATCGCGATGTGATCAATCTGAGTCCAGGCTTGGGATGCAGAGAGAGGACGCCAGGTGGCACATCGGCGATGATTGTGCCGAAAGTTAGTGCTAGCCAGAAACAGGTTGTGGTCTGTGCAAAGTTGCAGTAGACGGTCCCCGTTATCTGACCTTCGACCAACGAGTCCCCATCGGCCACCTAAACGACTCTCTTCTGTGCCTAGACGCCCGACCTGAGCATTCAAGTCTCCGGCTAGTACTACAATATCTGTCGAACGCACTTTCTGGAGAAGAACAGATAACTGGTGGTAAAACTCATCCTTGATTGCACCCGGGCTGCAATCTGTCGGAGCATAGGCGGAGATGACGAAAAGACATCGTTTCTCACGCCGATTTATTCTCACTTTGATGGAACTTTCTAATCTAACAGCACATAACTGACTGTTAATGGGGATCCAATCGATTAGTGCTGCCTCAGCTCTAGCGCTTAGTGTTACACCAACGCTATCGAGACCAGACGAAGATGCCACAGGGTTCCCGGATAAGCGTACGTAAAACAGGCTTTTCGAAGCGACATATGGAGATCGAATTTGTAGTACTTCGCCAGAGTCTTCAATACGGGTCCCGGATAGACAACAAACATCAATATTAAGACTTTCCAAAGACATAGCCAGCCCTATCTGTTGTCCGACCTGCATAAATGTGCGAACGTTGAAGGCAACCAGTTTGAATGGTGCATGTGGTTTCAGAAAAACTGCTTCAGTTCTCGTATTCGGTGGTAACATACAATTTTCAACCGGACAGTGATTCGAGAACGTTTAGATATAGTCGAATTTCCACCAAAGACGAGCCGCTGTATAAGTATAAAAGAGGGTGAATAATGTGGTAAATAATAATAAAAATAATAACAATAATAATAATGGTGATGATAATAATAATAATAGTGATGGTAATAATAATGACAATAATAGTAATGATAATAATTTGGATCATTTGATTGTTTTTCGAAACGAGAAAAGTAGTTTTCATAGATATAGAGAGTTCATCATTTGCGTGTGGGCTGTGATACTGCTCGGGTGCCCAAACCGAAGCAGGTGGTTTTTTCATTAGGCCACAACCCGAGCCTTTGACCTTCCCTGGCAGAGGCTGTATATGCGTGCCGTGTGAGAGTATTTTGAGAGGGAGAGCGGACTCTCCCCACTCTCGGCCGTACCAAGGCAATCGGGGGAGAAAGTGGACAGCCTTGACGGACACCACTTGAGGTTGCAAAAGCAGATGACAGTTCGCCACAAGCTCTCACTCGACTAGTAGTGTTCGAGTAAAGAGTCTTCACAAGGTTTATGTACTTCTGAGGTACGCCTTTCAATGACAGACACTGCCACAGAATCTCGCGGTCTATCGAGTCAAATGCTGCTTTTAATAATAATAATAATAATAATAATAATAATAATAATATTGTTCTCAAATAACAGTTTGTTACATGAGGCATGCCAGTTTACAGGCAAGATCAAATTGATACAAATGATACAATATCCACTGTAGTAAATTACATAGCTGGGTTGATAATTTATAAGATATGAATGTAGATGGTTTTAATCAGTACTACAGTTAGCGCGCTTCACGAAAGTTGCGTTGTGAATGTGCAACTGATGGTCAAGGATAGGTCCATGAAGGTGGAAGCTTCTAAATGTCGCAACCATATGTCCCTTTGGAATGTCTAAGGCTTTGAGGATGGTGTAGGATGAAATCTTTCGTTCCATATCACAAGGGGGCTGAAAGAGGGAGCAAGTAAAAGAAAGGACGAGAGGCAGAATAGCCAATATTCATGAAGAAATGTTTAAGGTATGATAACTCAGTCTAATTTTCTTTTCATACACATAGTTCCCTTTATCATTTTGAAAAGAGCAAGAACAAAGATTCTAGCAGAATAACATGAATTCATTTTATTTCGTAGGTTCTCGTCAGCTGCTTACAACCTATAATATTTGAAAGATAAAAATTACATAATGGGTTTGAATTGCTTACATGAGAGGGTTTATATTTAAGAAATGTTCGTAAAGTATGACATGGGTGTAAATGAATTAATAGGCTGAATAGTGTAAATATATACCTAATGTGAAAGAATGTTCTAGAGCATTAATTGTGACAACAGTTCAAAGAGGTAGAAACAATTGATTACATAATGAATAAACATTGATAGGAACATAGTGAGTAG